AAAATTTTAGGCAAAATTAACACTCAAAGGTGTTCTGTAACCTTAATTTGACTCAACGAAGCTTACTTGGTCGCGTGTGAATAGTTAAATCGAAGTTTTAAAACGCATTTTAACCAATAACCACCATAGGCATTATTTTCTGTAGTTAGATTTAGGAAAGATTAGAACTTTTATAGACAATTTGGTGAACAGATGAGATTGGTAGTCACATGGGTAGTCATCGTCCCCCCCCCTAATTTCTACCCGGATTTCATCTTTTTACAAGGGCAGTCCATCAGCCTATTGGGGGGGGGCTGAGCCCCCCCCCTGTCTACGCCACTGCGTGAATGGTCAATATTTGATCGTGTGAAATGCTTGATTTTACTGTCATGATCTGTGATTTGTTCTACAGCCGTGAGGCGTGATTGTCGATCAAAAAATGCTCCGTGAAATGGGAATTAAGGATGTCTGTTTCGTGAACTGTGATTTTGATTTGTTTATTCCGATCTATTTTATAATAGTGATAATGGACATAATACGCGATAATAATTTATATGATCGATCTCACTCGATTGCACAAGAGTAGAAACTTCGGAGGCCTTTCGGAGATCGTCGGACGTACTCATCACTCAAACTTGTAAGTAGTTTTTAACTGCCAGGCAGAGAAGAGAACTTAAAGCGTAGTACTGTACCATGCATTAAACATAATCTTAAAGCTATTATTATTATATTATTTTTATTAGAGTCTCGTTATCCGTGAAATTGCTTTTTTATGGCACGTGAATTGTGAAACGGTATTTTTTTGTTGTGAAACGTGAATCATACCCCTCCCCCCTTTCCCACCCTCATTAATCGATGTCGAATTTACAGAAGTGTGGGACTTTCAGTGTTAAGATTGGGGTTTTTAGGGATACCATTAAGGTAATTTGTGGATAATTGAATTATTGAAGTCAAAGTTGTCAGAACTGGTTTGTATCGGTTTGTATTTTGCATGTATACCAAGGCAGAACCGAAACACTCAACAGAAAAAAACTAAGGGAAACTGAATTTTTCTTTCAATATAGAGTATTGCTAATTTAGAATTTTTTTGTGCTCGATATTTTTTTTTGCTGGTGTTAGTGATGTTCGATTTTTTTTTCTTCCATTCGAGACATGCTCGATATTTTTTTTCGGATTTGCGCCCCCCCCCCCCATGAAAAATCAAATGGTCCGTCCCTAAGTAGCCAAATACCACATATTATATATTTAAATACCAAATTTCTGCAAATATATGTCCCACATATTTTATATTAAATACATGAGTTCGCCAGTTCGGCAAATATTTACTATACTATCTATAGTTAATATTGCCGTATCTTCGGCGTAGAGTTTACATGGAATGCACTCTGGAATTTTTTATTAATATATTACACTGTATAAATAAAAATATTGGATATTTTCGAGGATATTTTAAGCCATTTGTCAACATAGTTCACAAAAAGATTTATACAGTATTAAAAACAATCCTTCTGTGACTTCTGTAATATTTTAAACAGTGAAAACATAGCAGGCAATATTGCCAATTAACAATATCAAAGGAACCTATTGGACAGTTCTCAGGCGATATTGAATTAAATCCTGGTCCTGTATTTCTGTATATTGACTCTGTAACTCTGTTCAAAACAACAGTCCAACTATAAAGCTGTCATCAAATGTAATCTTAGAGCAAAGGTTGAAGATGTTATCAGTTAAAATACTTATACATTTTGGTTTTGCACATTAGAGTTAATTAAACAAAATTTTTACAAACATTTTCAAATAAAAGAATCCTCACCCTCCCGAGCCTCATTACATTGTCATTTTGCTTTCTAACATAAATATTTTTCTTTAGAGATTAATACAAGAATGAAGAATAAATGTACTGGATATTGGCTGGATAATTTTGTCAGAACAACCAACTTGCAAGACAATCTTACCTAAATTCATTAGTATGGAAAATAACTTAACAGCTACAATGAATAATCATATTATATGGTGGATTTGATCAATGGCACACAATGTACAAAACTAAACTTGTGATACCTTCTACTCAAGCCGATAATCTCCCACAACACGATTGTTTTTGTGTGAATGTGCTGTACGTGTTAAACCGAACAGTGTGGTATATCATTAACTGTGCACAGAACTGGAATTTAATTATGTACTTCACTCATGACCTTCAAAACATTCTCAATTATTCAGTGGTCTTCGACATGTTCACCAAATATTTTGTGTATGTTACTACATTGGCAAGTGTAAATTACAACAAGTGACATAACTTTTGCTTCATATGATTACAATAAAGTTTTGAAAATTTGATGAGTATGGATTGAATTGACAGGTGACAGTTTACTAAATAGCCAGCTGTATAAACACTTTGAATATTGTTTGCATGAAATTTTTATTTCCTGACTGCATAATTATCTGTTACAATCATAATCACATTATAAAGTTAGTTAAATTTTCTCGGTGCGGGCGGAGGGGTGGGTAGCACTTGCCCTGCTGCACTCCCCGCTGTGTACAGCCCTGTTTTAAATCTTATCTGCCATTATAATAAGTGATGAAATATTTCAATTGTCCCATGTCATCTTCATTATTCAGTTTCTTTCAAGAAAATACAAAATGTGAATCAAGTTTTTTCGCAGATACATGTACGCGTCGCGTACCTATTTTTGTATCTGCGAAGCAGATATATTATATTGCCATTCGCAGATACAAGCAGATATATTGCCATTGCAAACGTACCGTATGTTAACAGATAGGCCATTCAACGACGAGCTTATATAATTCAGCCAATTTAGGCCAATTTAAGCCAATCAGCGATCAGTTTACATCAATTGTTTACATCTTGCCCGCATCTAACCTGCGAACGGGCGGCGTTTGGCCTCGTGTTATTCTTTGCATTTTCACATTTTGGCTTCGAAAATATCTTGATTTTGGGTTTTTTACGTGCCATTCTACTTGCGATATTATTCCGAAGTTATCTATCAACATGGAAACTTATCCTCATCTGGTAAGTAATCAAATACCACATATTTATTATTTTATTATATAGTTATACAGTAAAACAATCATTGTGTTGTGTAATATTTTTAACAGTCAAAACATACATGTAGCAGGCAAAATATTTGTCAATGAACAATGTCATAGGAAACTAATGTTCTCAGGAGATATTGAATTAAATCCTGGTCCTGCATTTCTGTAGTAAACTCTGTTCCATGTTATCAGTAGCCTGCATGGCAGGCGGTATTTCTACGGGCAGCGAAAATTAGGGAAGCAAAGGAAATACCGTCTGCCGCAAAACTAGGGGTTTTTGAATTACCCGTCCACTGGTGAACGGGAAAAACGGATTGGTTAGTATTTTTATGTAGTTGTCAATCAACGGCTAAATTCGGTTAAATGTTAATCATTAACCAAATGTTTTGACGTTTTGAAACTCTGCGTTTTGAAATTAGTTCACGTCAAGTCAGACCAGAAATGGAATAACATAATAAAAGAAGCAAATTAAAAGATACAAGCTGAAAAATAACACTCTAAATAGTGTTATTGATAGAGATTCGAACAAGAATATTTAACAAAGAAGATACGTCCGAAGGGGCCGAAGTTATGATCGGCGAAAGGTATGGGCTAGTCTATATTTTCGTTCAGACAATTACATGCGTATTAATTTGATAATATACTATCTCGCCATAAATCGCAATAATGTTGACATTTTACTAAAACTATCGATAGGAATTAGGAGATATTTCTTCACTGAATCGAACAGTGGGATTTCCATATAGGCCTATCAGTCATGTTCTGAACCAAAGATACTTGATAGATATTACATATGAACCTCCAAAGTATAAACAAGGGGCCGGTTGATGCAGTAATTATCAAATAACAGTTAAACTCTTATATACCCGTTGAATATGTACAGTTGTAAACAAATAAAAACTATCGTTCTATAAGGTTCAATCATAGATATCTTATATATCTATGGGTTCAATACTTTCAGTTTGGTTGTTTTGTATAAACATATATTTTTCAAAACGACGTTTACCCAAGAGCTATAAAGCTCATTGGTTGTTGACTGATGATGAATCTATAATATAGACTTGCATGCTTTGTATTTTGAGCTTATTAAACCACCGTTTTAAGGCAGCTAAACGGCTAAACAGGCTTGGTTTATATTAAGACATAAAATAAATTCCTTGATTCTCATCACTAGACACAGTTTACACTTTGAAATGTCGAAGACAGTGGGAGATTTACTTTTTATATTTTATATTTATATAATTTATATATCAATAGTTCGTATCTCCACGAACAATGACAGAATGACTGAGTTTCTTTAAAATACAATGAAATTTCACTCAAAATTCTGTTTGTTTCAAATTGGAAGTTTAAAATGGCAATAAAAACTCTATATAAAATATGAAAAAATTAACTGTCTTGAATTATTTTGTCGGGCGGTACATTTATATTGTATAACGAAAAATAAAACGTTTTCACGAGGATTTTAAAATTCAGTCGGGCGGTGATGAGAATCAAGGAATTTATTTTATGTTGGGCAGTTGGGACTTGGGAGCAGCTTGGGAGTGGCTAATTTTGAATATTTACTTAATTAATGCATCTATAAATAGCGTTGATGCTTCAGGGGCGGTAGTTCATTTACACCCAGTTTTGCGGCAGGCGGTATTTCCTACGTACCGCCTGCCATGCAGGCTATGTTATCAGTTAAAATACTTATACATTTTTGTTTAATTTTACAGTGATTAGAGTTTTTAAACAAAATGTTTACAAACATTTTCAAATGCTAATAACAGAATCCCCACTCTCCTTCCTCATTGTATTGTTATTTTGCTTTCTAACATAAACGTTTTTGTTTCTAGATTAATGCAAGAATGATGAATAAATGTACTGGATATTGGCTAGATAATTTTGTCAGAACAACCCTCTTGCAAGACAATCTTACCTAAATTCATTAGTATGGATAATAACTTAACAGCTACAATAATCATATATTATATGGATGGATCAGATCAATGGCACACAATATGTACAAAACTAAACTTGTGATACCTTCTACACAAACTGATATTCTCCCACAACACAAATTGTTTTTGTGTGGATATGCTGTGTTAAACCGAACAGTGTGGTATATCATTAACTGTGCACAGGATTGGAATTGAATTATATACTTCACTCATGACCTTCAAAACATTCTCTACTATTCAGTGGTCTTTGATATATGATTGACTCTTCGCTACAGTGATGCATGTTCCTTGAATAGTTTGTGTATGTTACTCAACAGTTAATGTTGGCAAGTGTAAACAACAAGTGACAGAACTTCTGCTTCATATGATTACAATAAAGTTTTGAAAATGGGTATGGATTGACAAGTGACAGTTTACTAAATAGACACTTCGAATATTGTTTGCATGAAATTTTTATTTTTTGACCACATAATTATCCGAGTTACAATGGGTCGTTCCAGAAAAAAACCGTATTCCCCCCACAGAGGAAATTTCTGCCGTCCGGAGGAGGAGGGGAAAAAATTGTTTCTGATAATAGTAAATGTATTAGGACAAGCGAAGGGAGTAGGGGGGTTAACTTCCTATTTCCTCTGTGGGGGTGGTATGGATGTTTTCTGGAATGACCCAATCGTAATCACATAAAATTAGTTAAATGTTCTCCACGGGCGGGGGAGGGGGGGGGGGGAGTTGCCCCTGCTGCCCTCCGTGCTGTCACACTGATAAGAAGGTACAGCAGAAGTGTAAATCGAGTCGGTTCCCTTATTGTTTTACATCCACGAAAATTTTAACTCGCTCACACCATCCTGGCTAGTACAACCGGAAGTTTTTATCAGGTTTTAGTAGATGCTAAGTGCCGGTTGTACTAGCCAGGATGGCGTGATTGATGACGAATCACTTATAAAAACACGGACAAATACTTACTTGAGTTACACTTCTGCTGTACCTTCTTATTCTGTGGTGTTGTCTACAGCCTTGTTAATTTGTACTATGTTTGACTTTAAAATCTTATTTGCTATTATATTTGTTATAATAAGTGATGAAAATGTGAATCAAGTTTTTTCGCAGATACATGTACGCGTCGCGTACCTATTTTTATAGTTTATTAAACTTTACTAAAACATAATACGAGAGTTTTAGTGTGCCGACACAAGTTCGGCACATGATAAAAAAGGCCTTGATATTGGTCCTCTCATTATTTACGCTACACAATGTCTTACACCAGTGCTTGTCCAATTACCTATTTTATACAGAATAAAAACAAAATAAGAACCCAAAAAATAACTGTATTTAATTAATATTTATAACCCATATGTAGATTGCGACATGTGCCCAGCGTCTCCCATCCCAGGGCTTTTGGGGTGAAGACCCTGGGTATGTCGGTGAGCACTCTGTCCATTGTTATTAAACCTTAGTTGATGTTGCATAATCTCATTAGCTTGCAAACTATTTTTTCCCTTTTCTCTATGTGTGCAAACAATTTACTTGCACTTTTCGGTCTTCGCAAACAATTTTTTTAAGAATTTTCCATCCCCCCTCCAAAAAAATAATGGTCCATCCCTAAATAGTTGTCAATAGGCATGCCTCAGAGTCCCGGGGAATTTAATTTTCCACTTTTCCCTAGGTCCCGGGAAAATGACAAACTTTGTTCCACGTAAATTTTGTATTCCCCGGGATTTCCCGAGGTTCGCCCGGGGTTACCCCCCCCCCGGGCAAGACGATGATAGGTGTATTGTTACCCCCCCCCCCGGGCAAGACGATGATAGGTGTATTAATAGTAAAAGTTTTCTAAAATTGACAAAATGACCCAGTCACCAAAATTGCTCCCTCCCCTCCTGGAGTTAGCCTCCACAAGCCTCCACGGAAAGTTTTTCAAACCCATTCGCAGGCTAAAACCCATAGAGAGGCCTGCGGAGGAGGCTAATAAAGAACTTACATGACGTCTCGAGTGGAATGTTTTAGTTTTGGGCTTTTCGCACGAAAATTTTGGCGCGAGTTCTCGTGTGTAATAAAAATCCTTCTGAATATTTCAACGATCGCAACTATATTTTATTATTTTGTGAGCATCCCATCTTGTTTTCATGGAACGTGGCGGAGAGAAAAGGAAGCTAGATTATCCAAATTCAAATAACAAACGCACGAAGTCTGAAGAAACGAAACCGAGTGGGTTTGAACAAGAATTAGCAAAATTTGGTCCTGCAGAAAGTCGCGCGTTAAAGTGGGGTAGACCTCCACTACCTTCCCTGGACGCCTCAAAAGATGCCTTGGTCTTTCAACAACTTGACTTAGACCATTATATTGGTAAGAAATAATAGTCATATTATAAAATACTGTATTGGTAGTGTTTCAATATAAAGCATATAATGGCATAATATGAGCATAATTTATGCTCATATTATGCCATTATATGCTTATTGAAACACTACTAATACAGTATTTTTATATAATGCATAAATATGAGCATAAATATTGATAGAACAAGCTTTCGTTGGTAGGGATGGAACAACCTGAAGGATAAATTCTCCTTATATGTTTTCAGGTAGTTGCATCCCGACCAACGAAAGCTTGTTCATTTGATTGGCACGACCTGTACTGGCAAAAACTGTTCAAGATATAAAATATTGATAGAAGTTCAATTTATGCCATAAACCTCTGAATATCCCCCCTGGATATACCCCCCCCCCCATGTATAAGCCTGCTACATTCACTAATGTATAAGCCCACTACATTCACTAATACCCTTCCTAATATAGGCGACTCTATATGTAAGTCCATGGG